ATCCCCTCAGGATTTATCCTGAGATCCTGTACCTCAGATTGTAGAACCTTTGTCAGTGTCAGCCATGTGGATGAGTCACGGCCATTGCTTGGCCAACGTGCTCTCTGTGAACCCCTTGGAAAGTCTTAAGGGTGATGACACACAGGCATTTGCTGTCCCCTATAATGACAGTGGCTGTGTTCTTCAACAGTCCTCCTGAGGGACCTGCCTGGGACTCGTCTTGGTTCACTTTTGAAATTAATATATTAATGGTGAAAGCACTCTCTAAAATAACCACAGAAGGTATGGCACAGGACACAAACTAGTAACATAGTTCCACATTATTACAATTGAGCCTTATGCCCTGTACGTGATGACATGTGCTGTGCTTTCTGTCACTGGCTATGTAAGGGGTCTGCTCACACCAGTGTCACTGTGAACATGTAAGTAATATATTGCTAAAGGACATCAGGACAGCTACAGTGTCACCAGGCAAGAGGAATCTTTCAATTCTGTTACAATCTTTTTTTTTTTTTTTTTTTTTTAGAACCAGGGATTGAACTCAGATCCTTGCGTTTGCCAGTCAAGCACTTATCCTACTGAGCCATCTCCCCGGGCCCAATTCCGTTACAATCTTATGGGACCAACATCACATAGTCAGTCAGTTATTAACTAAAACCTGTTTCTCAGAGGACATCCTTTTTTCTTGGGATGTCAGGAGACTATATTGTGCCTCAGTTTGGAAAATAAATCCATACAGATCTCTGTTACATTCATTCCACTGCTAACACTGTGTTCTTTCTACAGAAGGAAGAAGGAAGAAGAGTGTGGGGGGAACAAGAATAGAAGGAAGAGGGGAAGGGAAGGGAGAAGGAACACAGTTCGTTTCCATTAACTTCTTGAAAGTAGAACAAACCTGAAGTCATGTTCCACAGATGGGCTGGAACCACCAAAAGCCAGATTACAAACATGACATTCCACTGGGTGTGGTGCTGCAGGTCTGTGATCCCAGCACTTGGGAGGCTAAGGCAGGCACATCACTGGGAGTTCAAGGGCAGCCTGGGCTACACAGCAAGAGCATGTCTCAAAACAACAGAATGCGGAAATGGCGTTCCATGCAGACCTCTGAAGGATTTGGCTCCAGTCACACAGCCAGAGTTTGCACTAGAGAGAATTAGAAACAGGGATGCTCTACTCCTGACTCCATCCTCCTCCTGCTACTGTGCACCCTACACCCATTCTTCTCTTAAGTCAGCTGGCTCAGCTCCTCCCTGAAGGTCCCCCTCCTCCTCCTCCTGTACAAGGTTTCAGTGGTAACTTCCCTACCCAGAGCTTCATACACCAAGTAGGCCCAGGGGCACTACCCAGAAAGCTCAGCAGCATGGGCAGAGCTAGGGCCCACAGAGGCCCTTTGCCATCCTCCCTCCAGGCACACGCAGGGCACCCAGGGACATGTAGGGGCACTGGGACCCCTAGGGACACCTGGGACATACTATAGGAGAACTGTATTGCCCTTTCTTCACATCATCATCAGGATCTCCTCAAGCAGGCATGCAGTCTGCCTAGCACATTCATCCTTCTCTGCTTGGCTGTCACTCGAATAGAGTTCCATAGCACGACAGGACTAAGGAGTCATGGCTTTAAATGCCCACCCAGGTCTTGGCTGCAGAGGAAGAAGCCCCAGAAGCCATAGGAGACTATGGCCCCTAAGAGTGCTGTTGGTTCTGTTAATGGTGGAGACCATGAGACTCATCCTGTGCACCCCACGCCCACACACAAATCCCTCCTTGCCACCCACTGCCTTCACAGGTGTCTTCCCTGTGCTGTCTCCACCTCGTCAGTCGCTGCCTGGACATGCAGTGCTGTCGCTTATAGCCCACTCAGGGAAGCAGCACGCTCTGTGCTTGGGAGGGAAGAGGGAGCCTTCCGGTTGGTTTCCAGTACTTGGCGAATGTGCAACATTTTCCTGGTTTTTTTAAATTCCACTGTCTTCTTTGCTGTGTTGCAACGGGTAACTCAGAGCCTATCACCCTGTGAAAGTGTTCCTGCTTCTCGAGGGGTCTCTAGCCGTCCTGCAGTGTAGGCCACCTGTCATTTTATGCTGCCTTTATAGAAAAGCTCTTGGGGCTCACACTTGCTAGGCCGGCACTCTCATTTTTAGAAGTCCATGTGATGTGTGAGCATGGGGAGTTTCCCACACAATCTCTTCTTTATATCACTTATAAGGCCTTCAATAAAGACTAATGCTCTATTTTTGTGGGAGTTCCCTTGCTACACACTGCCATGCACAGGCTGTATTCATGGTCCTTGCTTTACTTATAATCTGGTTCTAAGTACGAGGCCCTCACTTGCTCTGCAGTGTGTGGGCCTGATTCATCCAAGCGTGTTTTGGCAGTCTTCGTTATAGCCATTGCTGCTTTCTCTCCCTATCTTTGTGACTCATGGTTAACTGGCCAGGCAGGAATGAGTTCCTCTTAAAAATTCCTTCCTAGAGTTGTAAGTGTGTTAGCAATTTCTGTAACACGAAAGAGACCACCATGAGGCCACTACCAACACTGCCACCTCCTCGCCACTGCAGCTCTGTGCCAGGGTCCTGTGGTCACCTGCTCAGCCTGTACTGTTAGATACAGCTTACACATTTGGGCCTTTGGAGTCCTTCACAATCCGAGACATACACCATATCATGTAAAGACTAAGTGCATTCCTTTTGCAAATCTGGTGGGTGTCACGAATGCTCAGCCCTAAAACATCCACCCAGCAGGGCTTTCTTGACTATGTGGTGAGGATTCGTGGAGAGATTTAGCCTGAATGTGTCCTGGGGAATTGGGTTTGTGCTGAACCTCTTCAGCTCCTGCTGAGCCAGGTGTCACTCCAGGTGAAGCCTGAACACCCCATCTCGTAAGTGCCTGTGGTCCTCCGCATCCTGTGTCCACCTCTGTCTCTGCCACGACCGCACCTCCTTGCACTTGAGTGTGCAGTCCGCACTACCTTGCAGCATTACTTATCATCAGTGCGGTGTGGATCTGCTTTGCCCAGACAGATGAGATGCTACCAAGGGTGGCCGCGATGCCTCTGTCTCTCTGAAAGCACAACACCCAATAGCTACTTTAAAATGGTAACAAAATGGGGCTGGTGAGATGGCTCAGTGGTCTAAAGCACCTACTTAAAAAAAAAAAACAAGCTTAGCAAAGCACAAGGACCGTGGTTCAATCCCCCAGCACCACATGCCAGCCCGCCCCGCCCCCTGGTGGGCTGAGCTGGCCACACACACACACACACACACACACAAATAGGTAAATAAATTTTTTTTAAAAAAATAAAATAAAATTGTAGCAAAATGTCATAAGATTATGATACCAACACTGTCTTTTGCTACAGAACAGCATCTGGTTTCCACGTCTGCATTAGGTAAATAACTGCTTTGTTAACCGATGTGAACAATGGCTCCTTGTGCTCTTCAAGTTAGGAAATCCACACTGGGAGGGTTTTCATGGCAGTTTGTCTTCTTCCTATGACATCTTGGGTCCACTGAGGTGCTGCTAGGGGCCAGTGAACCTAAGGCCTTTAGACCCTTTCTTTTCTTTAATTTCGACATGAGGTCTCCTTAAGTCACTGAGTTATCTAGGTTCAAATTTACAATCCTCCTGCCGCAGCCTCCCCTTCACTAGCTTTTATGTCTGATCATCTGAGAAGTTCAGAAAAGACAGAAACACGCATGACAAAGCATAAAGATGGCAGTAACTCAACTGAAAGAGAAACACGCCGCTTTCTGTTCTATGAGATAATGAAACCAGGGAGACACTTCGTTTATTTTAGGTAGTCATTTGAGAAGCAGTAAGGAGGTTTAGCTACAGAAAAATCAGTTTGTTTGGTTTTTTTAAAGTAAGAAAAATACCCTCCCAACCACTCCCCATCTACTAGCAGCTTCATGATATTGAGGGTATCTGCTCCTCTCAGCTGGGAAAACTTGGGGAGGAAAATGCCAAAGAGCAGATGACAAGCCTTGGCAGAACGCTGGGAATGTGCCAGAGCAAACCAGAAGACAAAGCAACAGGGCCTGCGGTGGCCCCTGGCTTCAGGGGCGCTGTTGCCTGCCGCCTCCAGAAAATGAGTCACCCTTGCCAAACTCGTCACAACTCAAGTTTAATGAGCCTCAGAGCAGCCCAAAGGAGGCATCTCTTCCTCCAGCAAGAGAAGCATTGAAGGAGAATGTGGGGTCACTCAGGTGAGCAGAGTATGGGGCGCAGCATCTCTGGGAAGAGAAAGTGAGATGCCCTAGGATGACACCATGGAGCCCCTCAAGCAGCCCACCCTGATCTGGGTCTGAGGAAGAGGTCTTCAGCTGCTACTCCTCACTGTCAGCATCCTCATCACTGTTCTCCCCCAGGGGAAACTCCTTTGTAGGCTTCTGGGTCCTATATTCCCGGGTCTCCATGGGGCAGTCCTGGCTCAGAATAGCCTGCAGGAGAAGCAAGAAAAAAAATCACTTCGTGTTTGTGACTGTCTCCCATCTCCCCATTTCTGCCCCTAACTAGCTTATACAAGCCTAGTCCTGGTTAGGGAAGACTCCAGCTGCAACTGTAGACTGGAGAGCCTTCCTTCTGGTCCATGTGCATGCTCAGGCCTCCCAACACTCACAGGTGAGCTCACCTTGTGGGACGAACAGCTAATGTGTTTTTAACTGAATCCCAATGACAGTGCTAGACACAGCGGGAAATTCACTGAAACTGACAGCACTTTCTAGCAGACCTCCCTCTCTTTTATTCCTTTGAGCAAAAGCAACCTTTCCCAACCTATGAGACCTTCATCCTCACCCATTCCTAACTCTTCATCAGACCCTCGGGGTTGATGACAAGAGGAAAATACCCTGTTGTCTGAAATTACATGCAGAAGATCTTTTACCTGAGGTTTTCACTGAGAAAGAGTTGGGCCAAGTGCAATGAGATAGATAGACACAGAAACAAAAACAAAAACAAAAACAAGAAGAAGCAGAAATGGAGAGACAGAGAGAAACCCAATAAAGATAAGGGCAGAGCACCTGGGTGTAGTAGTGCACACCTGTGATCTCAGCACTCTGGAAGCTGAGGCAGGAGGATCACTGAAACTTTGAGCCCAGCCTGGGCTACCTAGTGAGTTCAAGGCCAGCCTAAATTACACAGTGAGTGGGTTCCAGCAGCTCTGGCGGCGGGAGGAACGGCAGCGGTCGAG